ACAGGCGGGGGGGGGGCGGGGCCCGGGGACCCATGGCCGCTGAGCCTGCGCGTCCGGAGCCTGTGCTCCGCAACGCGGGAGGCCACAGCAGTGAGAGGCCCGCGTACCGCCAAAAAAAAAAAAAGGACAACCAGGACCATGAGGTACCTCCAAAATCCAAGGAGTAGACTCCTTCGGAGGAGGGTTGACTCCACCGTTGGGATGCAGTAAGATCCAGACCAACAAGACCTGGCAAATGCCCTCTGGTATTTGGGGCTGAGGCTGGGGCATCGCCAGGGTGCTGAGCGAGGGCTGGGTCAGTCCAGTGGGAGGAGACAGAGCCGGCTGAGAGGAGATGGAAAGCGGATAAGCAAAGATGATGTCAACCAGACACTAGGATGAGAAGACGGGATGAAAGGGCAGATAAGACCTCGGGGCCATATAGGTTTGGGTTTGTTGTTTTTTCTTATTTTTGTTGTTGTTGCTTAATGAAAGACCCTTATACATATTTATCAACAAAAGAAAAAGGCCAGTGGAAAGAAGAAAGCTGAAGATGGAAGAGGTAGAGGTTGGAGATGGAAGGACCTTCATCCTCAGACCTGGACATGGACTTGAGAGCCTTCAGGGAAGGGACAGGAAGCCAAGACTGCAACTGCTGACCCCATTATTCTCAGCAAAATAGAAAGCACGGGCAGGGCCAAAGAGAGAGGCGGGCTGTTGAGGGACTGAAAGAGGGAACTGACCAAGGCTAAGAGTGATGGGTGGTGCCCAGAAGAGCACCAAGGTTAAAGACCATCACTCTGCGGCCTAATATAGCAACAGAAAAGGGGGCTGCAGCACTGACTTGGAGCCAGGGTTCTGCAGAGCAAACAGCAATTAGAGGAATCCGAGGTAGTGGTGAGACGCAAGCTGCAACCCGGACTGAAGAGAGCTGAAGCGAGGCAAGTCCAGGGTGTGGCCTTGGGGGTGGGCGGCTGAAGAGAAGGCAGACAGGTCACCAAAGTTAATGAGGTTCTGGAGGCCTGAGGCTGTTGGCTGGCTCCTGGCAGCAGAACTTGGTCAGGAGAGATGTCCATGAGAGACAGAGAGCAGCCAGGAGGTGAGCGGGTGCTAGCGCCAAGAAGAAGGGATGGACAGAGAGGAAAAAACACTCCAAGGGTGAGGTTTATCAGAGATCTCTTGAGCTCATGCTACCTGCAGACCCTCCTTTTGTAAAGTGTTTGTATTATTCAGGTCGATCTGTATGAAACTGCCACTTTCATAGCTGCAAAATGTGGAATATCGGCAGTAAGATAACAGCAGTTCAAGCAAACAGCTGCTCATGTTTTTTAAAAATCAGAAAAATGTTACCTAGATCTGGCTTCTCTTAAAAAAAAACCCCAAAGATCTATCATCACTCACCTCCCACTCCCATGTGGCTTCAATGGCAGCAGCAGGTCCCATTAGAAAGGATGACCCATCAGCCCCTTCACTTCTCCCACTACCTGTCCCGGTCTTCACACAAAGATTCAGGAGTAGCTACGGAGGCCCACAGAACACACCCCTGCCCAGGCCCTGCAGCGAGTGGGGACAGGAAAAGGGGCGGTCTCCCCCGGAGTGAGCGCTGGAATCTCATTCTCTTCAGAAGGCAGCCCAGCTTCTGCTCCTGGTACCTGCCTGGCATGAGAGGCAATGGCTTCCTACTCCCTCCCTGTTCCCAGGCGGTCTGACAGCAGCCACAGGACCTACCAGACCACAAATTCTCACCGTGATGCTCCTAGATGAGCAGGTCCCCTCCCAAAGGCAGGACAACCCTTTGGCCTACACACTCGCTTGACCACCTGACCCCTCCTGGGCTGCAACCCCAGGGAGTATAACGGAACCGTACACACCCTTACTTGTCTCCTTTTGCCCACATTCTTCCCTCGGCCTGCAGTGCCCCCACTGCCTGTCCCATACAACCTCCTTCCCTCCCAAGATCCAGTTCAGGGCAGTCCTGAGCTGCTAGCTGGAATGAACCATGAAATACAAACTCCAGGACAGCCTCAGTCCCAGACATGATAACCACCACCCCCTCCAAAGCCAGGTGCCTGCTTATCAGTAAAGGAGGGAGCGAAGCCCCTCCCCAGGCCTCCTCTCAGAACCTCAAGCCTCAAGCTGTCCAAAGGACTTGGGATCAAAGGGCCAAGGTCAGACTGAAAAAGGGAGGCTGTCAGAGGCTGGTGGTCTTTGCAAATGATGTGAAGCAGGATTCCCTTCGGAAACATCCCATATACACAGCACAGCCGAGAGCGAGGACAGCCCAGTATGACCAGCTTAGTCTCCCCCCCTCCCCCCCAGCGTGGGCTTCTCCTCCCTCAAAGACTCTACTTCCAGCCACTGCCATTATCGAAGCCTCAGGTCAGGCGGGCTCCGGTGGTATCCAGGCCACGCCACCTCCCTGCCCCTGTTCACAGCCCTTACTGCTGGGGGAAGGGAAACACACAGCTTCGGCTGACCGGCTGATCACAAAGCATGGAGTACGATGAGCTGAGGCAAGTGCCAAGGGTTAAGAAGAAATTATTCAAAAATAGCTTTTTCTGACTATTAACGTGACTTTTTCTCTAAATTAGGGGCAACGCATCCACTGACTTTGCCAGAACTCCCGGCCCGGAGACGCAGAGGCTAAGCCACTGTCCTAAACAAGCCCCAGACCCGGAGGTTCACACACACACTCCGTCTGCGGGAACAAACGTCGCCAACTCCCCAGCCCCACGGGAGGGACACACGCTTTCTGCAGCCCGGTCCCTCGTCCGAAGCCCAGCCCGGGGCCCACCCAGCGCTCTCCTCGGCCGAGCCGGCCGCCTACCCGGAGGTCGTCCCCGACCCCCGACGAGGACAGCGGAGGCCCGGGGCCGGGGCGCGCGGGCCGCGCGGCCGCGCTCGCTCACCGAAGTAGTCCCGCGCAGTGCGCGCCTCCAGCGCCCGCTCCAGCTCTCGGGTCAGCACCTCCAGCCGCCGCTCCGCCGAGCTCGGGGCGCCCTCCCGGCCCGGGGGCAGCTGGAGCGAAGGCAGAGCGAAAGGGGCAGGCCCGGCGGGCTCCGGGGAGCGAGCCGGCGCGGAGCAGGCGCCGGGCAGGAGCAGGTCGGGGTAGGC